GAGAGAGAGAAAGTGAGAAAGCAAGCCACCACGTCCGGGACTCAAACTCCAGTTGGTCATGCGGGAGGGGAGTCCAGCGCCCTTAACCATGACCACTTGCCGGCTCCTGCGTAAAGGATTTAAGTTTTGTGGAAGTTCAAATGATCTATTTTTTTCTTCTGTTACTCAGCTTTTGGTGTCATAGCTAGGAATCATGGCCAAGTGCAAGGTCATGATTTACTGCTATGCTTCCTTCTCAGAGTGTTATCATTTTAGCACGTATGCTTAGGCCACTGGTGGTAACATCTGTGTAGGGTATGCGGTAAGCCTCCAACGCCATGTGGATACCCACTATCCCAGCACCAGCTCTTGGAGAGATGGTTCTCTGTCCATTGAGCAGTCTCAGAACACTTGTCAAAAATCAGGTGGCTATCGATACACGGGTTTCTTTCTTCCTTTCTTTCTTTTTAAGGTTTTTGCCATAGAGTGTGTGCACTTGCCAGATATAGGGGTGGAGAGAGACAGCGAGAGGAAAAGTGAGCAATCAGCCCCCCTGGAGTGTAGTGTAGCCACATTCCTCCCGAGATTTTGGGCACACATGCACATGCACCTGCACCTGGCATGATTTTCAAGCCACCAGGTCTGGGCCTCAAACTGTGATCAACCATGTGGGAATTTAGCACCTTAACCAATGTGCCACTGCTGGCCCCAATGTGTGGGTTTATTTCTGGGGTTTCTATTCCATTCCATTGGTCTGTATGTCTATCCTTATTCCAGTGCCACACTCTTTTGCTCACTGTGGCTTGGTAGTAAGTTTTGAAATCCAGAAATGTAAGCCCTCTTAACTTTTAAAAAAAAGTCTTTAAAAGTTTATTCCCTCCTCTGGTGAGGGAGAGAGGAGAAGAGCGAGGGAGCAAGAGCGTTGTGCACGAGGGTAGCAGGTACCCTCACAGGTCTTCACGTTGTAACCTGCCCCCAGTCTCAGCCCGTCTAGGTCATGGGTGCACACGTGTGCCTGGTGTGCACAAGAAAGTTCTGGTTCATTTGCAGTTACTACTGCACCACTGCTGTGTCCCATACGTTCTCTTAACTTAAACTTGCTTCCTGAAGATTGTTTTGGCTATTTGGGATCCTTTGCAAATCCATCTAAATGTAAGGATCAGGTTTTCCATTTCTGTGAAATAAAAGAATTAGGGTTTTGCCAGTAATAATTGCATTGGTACTCTAGGAAGTATTGATATCTTAACACTATTAAGTCTTCCAGTCCACAAATGCAGGATACCTTTTCATTTATGCTGTTAAAAATACTTGATTTTATTTGTTACTATTTTAAAGACTTTTTTTTTTTTTTTTTTTTGCTGTAGGGCACATGTGCACATCAGAGAAAGGGAGGCAGGGAGGCAGGGAGGGAGGGAAAGAAGGAGAGAGGGAGGGAGGGGGAGAGAGAGAGAGAGAGAGAGAGAGAAAGAGAGAAAGAGAGAAAGAAAGAGAAAGTGAGGAAGCAAGTTGCTAGGTCCGGACTTGAATCATGGCCAGCCATGTGGGAGTCTAGCACCTTAACCACCACACCACCTGCTGTCCTCATTTGTACGTTTTAAAATTCCTTTCAGTACTGTATTAGTCTTACATTGCCTAAATTAAGTTTATTCCCAAGTATTTTGTTCTTTTAGATACTCTTGCAATTGTAATTGCTTTCTTAATTTCATTTTCAGATTATTCATTGTAGTGTATAGAAATGCACTGTTTTCTGTGTTCTTGCATACTATAACTTCTGAATTTATTTATTAGCATTAGTAGGTTTTTGTTTGTATGTGGATTCTTTAGGGTTTTCTATATATAGGATTATGTCATATGCAAATAAAGATAATTGTACTTCTTCTTTTCCAATTTCAATGCCTTTTATTTCACTTTCTTGTCTAATTGCTCTGGCTAGAACTTCCAAAACCATGTTGAATAGAAGTGGCAATAGCAAGCATCCTTCTTGTATCCTATTGTATGGGGAATGCTTTCAGCTTTTCACCATTGTATATGACATTAGCTGTGAGTTTTTTATATGTGGCATTTCTTATGTTGAGGAACTTCTTTCTATTTCTAGTTCATGAAGTGTTTTTATCCCGAGAGAGTGTTGGATTTTGTCAAATGCTTTTTGTATATGTGGGATTTTTCTTCATTGTGTTAATGTGGTGTGTTGTGACTTAGGAAGGAAGGGGATCTGGAGGGGACTGGGAGAGAGAGAGACAGAGAAGTGAAGTGAGGGGATTGCGGTGGCTCAAGAAGAGGGCCAGATGAGCCATGAGCTGGGCCCTCACTGGTGGGGGAGAATGGCATAGCCATTCTTAGCCTCCAGGCTGGCTCCAGGGCTGCATCCCTTTCTTGCAGACAGATGTCCTACTCAGGGGTTGGAATGCTGATTTGTTTTCCTGTGTCAAACTATCCTTGCATTTCTGTGACAAATTCCAGTTGGTCATATTTATAGTGTCTTTAATATCTGCTAGATTTTATTTGCTAGTATTTTGGTTAGGATTTTTATATTGATACATGTAACAGATATTGGTCTATAGGTTTTTGTTTTGTTTTTTTCTTTTTCCTAATAGTATCTTTGTCTGGCTTGGGAATCAGAGTAATGGTGACTTCATAGAATGAATGAATTAGAAAATGTTCTCTCCTATTTTCTGGAAGAGTTAGAGGAGATTGGTGTTATTCTTTTTTAAATGTTTGATAAAATTTATCAGTGGTGGTTCTGGAGTTTGCTTTTTTGGGGGAGGTTATTGACTACTGATTCAGGCTCTTTACTTGTTATAGGTCTGTTCATATATATATATATATTTTTTTTTGAGAGGTTTTCGCTATAGGGCGTGTGTGCTCGCCAGACAGACAGAGAGAGACATAGAGACAGAAAGCGAGAAATCACCCCCCAGGTGGGAAACCGGGTCTGGGACACGAACCGCGGTCGACTGGGAGTCCAGCAACATAGCCATTATGCTGGTTCCCCAGATATATATATATATATATATATATATTTAAAATCAGCTCAGGCAGGTGGTGTTTTTCTAGGAATTTGTTTATTTCCCTTAGGTTATCTATTATAGTTGTTCATGGGGTTCTCTTACAATCCTTTTTTATGTCCTTAGGGAAGTAGCAATGTCTTTACTTTCATTTCTTACTTTGGTAATTCGAGTCATCTTTTCTCTTGGTCATTCTAGTGCAAGGCTTGTCGTTTGTCTGGTTGGTTCCGTCCGATGTTGCCGATTTGTGTGCACAGACACTATCCGTTCTCACCAGCATGCACAGCTGCTGTGGAGAGCCCCTTGTTGAGATGAGGTGATGAGGCATGCTGCCAATCATCAAGTAAAGGTTGAGGGGTACGGGAGGTCAGAGAAAGCACCCCAGGAGCCCAGACAGATGCAGCATGGGTGGTGGAGGGCGGAGCCCCACCCACCCTGAGCTTGCTCTCCCAGGGCCCATGCCCAGGAGGTCCTGGCAGCCCCTGACCTTACGGAGGCACCCAGGAGTAGCCTGTGTGCCCAGCAGGTGCAGGAGAGGCGCAGCTCAGCAGCCAGCCGTGAGGCCGCCGCAGAGCTGGGCCCAGCAAGAAGCCGCTCTCAGGTAGTTGAGCTGCAGGTTGTCACCCTATCCCTGGCGCAGCGGAGTCAGCTCCCGCGGTTCCAATCATGTCCCCCGTGTTGATCCTGGCCGGTTATCTGTCCCACGGTCCTGCTATCCTGTGGTCTTAGTGGTCACGGATGACTTCCTGAGTGAGCAGTGGACACGTCGGGCCCTGGAAGTGGACGTCTCAGCTCTCCCCATGTCTTTCCGACACGAAGCATGCTGGGTAGACACCTGTCCCTAATGTGCTGCCTCTGCAGGGTGCTGAGGCCTGCTGCAGGGGTGAGCACGCGCTCAGCAGGCACAGTGGCCACCCTGCCTGCTCCCGAGTCTCTCTCCCACCCTTACATGTCACTGCTAGTGCCTAGTGGGCCTCAAGTCAAGGTCAGCTCCCCCACTCCCAGACAAAAAGTGCAGCAGAAGCGGGAACCCCCTCAGTGACCCTGAGTGAACACGCTTTGGGGACAGGGGCAGTGACAGACAGCTCACGTTGGCCCTTGATGGCAGCAGTCTGCTCCATGTCCACCGCGGTGTCCAGGAGCCTGCTGCCCCGAGCCCGCTCTGCGGCCCGCTCTGCGCCGTGTTAAGGGGCTGCCTGGGGAAAAGCTGCTCCGCTCCACCAGCCAGTTGTCCTCGCATCTCCTGCTCCCACCTAGGAGGTGTAGACACGTTTCCCGACTCACCCATCGCCTTTCCTTGTGGGAATGGCCTGCCCCAGGGCCTGCCCTTTACCAGCCTTGTTCCTGCTCACATGTGACAGATGGTGCCGTTTCTGTCACTGTAACCCCACACAGCGGGCTGCGGTGCAGTGGGCCCATGTCTTTGTTGGCTGGCTGGATTGCTGAGACGTGTGTGCTTGTTGAGGGCTCGTCGTTGGTCCTCACTCCTCCGGGGTCTGAGGCCTGGGAATGTGCCAGGGTCTGCGTGGCAGGCAGTCACCCCGGCACTGCCTCTGAACCGGTGTGCGGGGGTCCTGGAGGACGTCCAGGGAGGGAGAAGGGGGTTACAGTTCCTGGCATCTGAGCCAGTCCCCAGGTCCACAGCCCGGGTCTCACCCTCTCCCCCTGGCCCCTTTGAAGGTGAGCTGGATGGAGTACAGTGTGGCCTGGGGGAAGTGCTTCGGGCTGCCCTGAGTGTCCTCCCCCAGCCCAGACTGTGCCTGGGGAAGTGACAGAAGCAGCCTGACTCTCGGGCCCTCCTCTTCCTCCCTCTCCGGGCCTGGGTGGCAGGTCTGCCAGATGGCCACTCGGAGAGGGGGCCTGCCCAGACACTGTGTCTGGGTCCTTGCTACAGCCTGTGGCCTCCCCTCTACCTGCCTCCCCATGGATCTATCTGCCCCAGGTCCGCAGGTGGAGCAGGGGCTGTCCCAGAGAGCTGTGGGGCAGCCATGCCGTGGGTGATGGTGTGTGTCATCCCGTTTCAGCTGTGTCGGGGTGGAAGAGGAGGAGGCGCCGGACATCGACATTTACCACTGCCCAAACTGCGAGAAAACCCACGGGAAGTCCACCTGTAAGTACTGCGCCAGTCCGCCACCTTCGCCCACCGGGTGCACGGAGGACAGGGTCCCTGCTGGACTGGGGACCCTGCCAGCCTCCCCACTGCCCCTCCTGGCCTCGCTGAGTCCTGCAGCTGCCCCGTGGGCTCCACTGGTGGTGGCCAGCCAGCAGAGTCAGGGGACATGGGCTTGGGACCCGGGCAAAGGCAGCCTGGGGGCCACCAGGGCCTCCAGCCCAGCCCTGTCCAGCCACATGGGGTGCATTTGTTACTGGGCTCTCCCATCCTCCTGCATCCCTCTACCCACCAGCAGCTGCCTTACTGCTGGAGGATCTTGGGGACCTTGACCTTTCCCAGACTGCTTGCTCTCTGCGGGTCCGTGGGCCTTTCCTTCCTCCCCTGCCCTGTGCTCTCTCACGTGTGGTGTATCCGGGGCTCCCGAGGTATGGGCATGGCTCGCGCTGAGCAAGTCAAGGTGACTGTGATATGTGCTCCAGGCTTGGCCAGGGCACATACAGGAGCGTGCTGTGGTCTGCAAGGACCTGGAAGGGGTGCAGCCTGGGGTGCGGGAGGGGGCAGTATGGCCCTGGTTCCCTCCTGGGTTGGGGTCGTGCAGCTCTCAGAAGCTGCAGGTTGAGTCAGGTCCTGGCTGGGTCGGCTGATGGCTGTCCTACCTTCCTTCCATCAGGAGCCCTGGGCTGACTGAGCCGGGGGAGCGGCAGGCACCCCCCGCCCCACAGAGCGCTCTCCAC